CCTGTGTGGGTTTCCTCTGGGTACTCATTTACACCTACTTTCCAAAGACATGCTGGCAGGTTAACTGGCTCCTGTCTAAATTGGCCCTAGTATGTGCATGTATGAATGTGAGTTAGGGATCTTAGATTGTAGGCTTCTTGAGGGTCAGGAACAGATGTGAATGCACAATATATATGTAAAAGCGCTGCATAAATGGACGGTGCTATATAAGTACCCATAATAAATAAATAAATGTTTAGAACATTTTTGTAAGACTTTGCTAAGACTTTTTGAAATAATTTACTTTTGAAATTTTATTCATCTATGACCAGCTTTACTTTACCAAAGCCATGTCAATTTCTTTCCTAAATTTTACTTTATACTCTTTCTAAATTTTACTTTGCTTTGTAACTCTTCATTTCTAAATCTTCCAAAATCAATTATCATGAGTTTTTTTCATATTAATTTAAAGAAGATTAAAAATGTAAAGAAAACATTAAGTTCATCAACTTGGATGCACAAGTTGATGCTAGGCTATATAAATCTCAGGACAAAATAGACATAATACCAAATTTACTATCAGTTTATAAAAATCACATGTGTGTATTTTAGTTGTGTATTTAGTTGCTTGCCTGGAGTTTAGCTTTAACAAGGCAATAGAATTACAATTAGAATGTACTGTATAATCTCTGTACAATTTCCTTTAAATTTACCAACTATGTAGGGTTGCTTACCAATCCATTTGCTTAAACAATCCATATAAATTATATCTAGTCAGGGAGACATTTCCAGTACATAATCATTGATAAATGTAATCAGGCTACACCATCAGACTGCAATGTTTGTGATCAGCATTAGAGGAAGTTTTCTTTGTACTAATGAAAGAATAATTTATTTCCAGTCTGTTAGGGACACTGCAAAACATTTTTACATACATTTTTTACATACAGAAATTGAACAGTTTCTTTCTTATCAAGATGAAACGTATACAATCAAAAATAAATTTTTCAGTCCATTAAATCCATTATTGTGTGCATTGTCTGACTGTATCCTCATACACATTGTTTTCTGTTCTTTGAAGTATTTTCACTCAAAGTAAATTTACAATGATTATCACGTGTGGTAACTTCTTAAACTATTGCTATCCCTTGGCTGGTGGTAATTGTTATTTTAATAAGATGTCTCTTGGGGAGATCTCCTTTTGAGGTGGTCATATTCATTAAATAATACTACAATTTATGAAAAAATAAGTCCTTCAACAGCTAAATACCTGTCAGGAATGTGTAGCTCTCCTGCTCCATCACAGCTGCTGGTTCCAGCATCCTGGTTTTGGCTATTCTCCCTGTTTGTCTGTCCACCTGCAAGGTGATTGATGTAGTCTACCTCTGGGTGGAGACCAAACCTGATTACAGCCAGCCAAGCCTGCAGTCTCATGCTTGTAAAAGTCATGGTTATATGTGTTTAAAACGGAGCTCCACCCAAAAGGGGAAGTTCCGAATTAAGCCTTTGTCCCCCACTCCCCTTTAAGGATTGGCACCTTTGGGAGCGGGGGGAGCGGGTACCCAAATTTAACAGGTACCCGCTCTCACTTCCACTGCGATCGCCTAGACGATTGGAAGCGGAAGTGGTCCTCCCCCCCTCACTCCCTGTAGTCTTTAGGGAGAGAAGACAGCCGGTGTAACCAGTGGTGGTAAGAACACCGCTGGACCGAGGGACAGGTAAGTGTCTGTATTTTAAAAGTCAGCAGCTATAGTTTTTGTAGCTGCTGACTTTTTTATTTTTTTTTTCAGGTGGAACTCTGCTTTAAGCTCGCTGTTTGTTTGTCATGCTCTGCTGTCTGGATTCTCTCGTTAACGATCTTGGATTAGATATTGACTGTTCTCTGAACTCTGCCTACCTTTTGGCTGTGCATTTGACCTGGACTACTCTGAACTGTGCCTGCCTTGTACCTCGACTGTCATTGAACTACTCTGCCTATCTTCAAGAATCAAGTACCTGTTTGCTGTGCTCAATTCACTCCTGCTCCAGTGTGGTAGCCAGGCGCTATAGCATTGTGTATAAGTCCTGGAGGAAACTGAGTACCGGTAGGCCCACTTGCCTTATAGGAAAGAGGGCTGCTATAGGTGAAAAACACAGAAGCCAGATATAGTGCCTGACCACCTACATTAGGAACAAGCATGACAATACCCAGTTGAAGTGAACAAACAATAGCACACCTGTGTGTATGAATTGATCAGTTCTAGGATAAAAATATTATGCAATAAGCTAAAAAGTAAATAAGTCCTCCATCTTAATTAAAAATGCTTTGTGAGAGGTCTGAATTCTCTTCAGTTGAACTGGCAACTTAAAGCCTAGTTGAAGTCACAGAAATAAATATTCAGTTAGATAGACATTATACTAGCATCCTCCATTGTCATACTCTTGCCTCCACTTTCCTGTGGAAAAACAGTTTTGCATTGTGCCTAATTAAGACTGTACAGTCCAAAAGGCACCACAATTAGACCTAATGTGCTCAGTAATCAGCACTCAGTAACAAAACTAGCTAAAATATACCCCCTCTTCCTCTGCTAAACAAGTGTGTGTGATAACACTAATGATGAGGGATGTTTGTTACTAAGTGATGCCAGTATAAAACCCCATAGTGTAGAGGCAGGAGGCAGCATTTTCACTAAAAAAAAAAAGCATTTCCAATAAACAATCAGTCACAAATCATTAGTTACAGAACTATAAAAAGATAAAAAAAGTGTGAGACTTCAGTTGGGCTTTAAAAATGTTTTCAATTAAATGCTTTGCTTTGTGTCCTACATGAAGACAGTAAAATTATCTTCAAATGCAAAAGACAGAGAACTTTGTGAATAGATATAACTGATATGGCAACATTATGTGGTATACCAGTTTCTAATACGAGTTAATAGAAATAAAAAGACCATGAAGGACATTTTAAACTGTCAGTCTTTACATCTTGAAATATGTAACAAAAGCATTTTGAATTGAGCCTATTAAAATGCCCATAGGAGCAATTTAACTACCCTAAAAGAACGTAAAAGCAAAGTATTTAAAATATATGCAATAAATTACTGAGTGATAACCTGAAGCACATTCAGTACTTTGCCTAATTTCTGTTTTAGCACCATAAATTCATTTTGACTTCATGAAAAGCACTAAAGAAAAACATGGCTAACTGGGATAAAGACATGTTAAAGCATTATTTATTTTTTCTTTAATAATTTACTTGGAACAGGTCATATTTTGCCCTCAATAATATTGTATAAGAAATTAAGAAATTATTGCAATATGATGTTTTCAGTCATACTTGTGTGATCATTTTCAGGCATGATAAATGGAAATGGGCAGGAGAGCTTGTCCAAGTAGTAAAAGAAGTAGCTAAACTACTAATCGAGAATTATATAGAATAGAAAAATGATTTATGAAAAGACACAACAAAAAACAAAAAAACACCCTTTTCATTCGTACAGTGATTCTTATCATGGGGTACTTTAGTATCTGGGGTATCTCATACACTGTTTGCAATGCAGCAAATCATAAATTTATGTTTAGGTGGCATTGGTGACCTAGCACAAGGGTAATAATGTGATTGGGGGACAGGGCATCATATTAACATTTTAACTTGGCTTCATAGAAATCTTGCTTTATGATTTCAGTGTTGGAACACAGTTTGGATGGAAAAAAAATTATGCAGCACACAGGCTCAGAATGTTTATGGGGCACAAGAAGAAAGAAAAGAGCACTGGAATGGAAACAATGAAATGGTTTCAAGGGAAAAAAAAACAAAAAAGTGTTTTTTAGGGGTTTGTTTAACTGAAGTGCTTGGCAGCAGGAATGGTGAAGATAGGCTACATTTTCACCCCTTCTTCTGCCAAGCACCTATTTCATGAAATTCTTTATGTATGTAGTCAGCATGAAGAATCAGGGGGTTTAAACATTCTTAGGGACATGTAAAATTTGGGATTACCCACAAAGGGGTACGGTCAAAAAGGTTGTGAACTATTGTTTCAGGACAAATAAGGTCCACCACTAAGTTACATCTGATTAAGTGAAGATAAGAACATCTACATAAAATTCTTTGTAAAAAAAATCCACTGAAAGAAAGCAACATAATACGTAAGTGACTGTAAACACATTAGGAAACACTTTATAGAAATCTGTATTTAATGCTCTGAAATCATGAAACATTGTGAATCTTTACAATAGGGATAAGAGAAAAAGGCCAGGATTGGTTCAGCAAGCCCAGCAGGAAGTTTGGGAATACCAAAATTAGCATGGAACCCCATTGAAATCTATGGGAGATAAAAGTAGCTATTTTCTTTAACCTTTTCTCACCTTCACATTTATTAAGCAATCCAGTTAAAAAGGACATGGTGAGCTGGACACTGCCAAACAGTATCTTAAATAAGTCTGGGGTCTCATGTGGAGATATAGGGTCTAGAAAGGTGCAACTTGGCTTAACCACTTGCCTACAGGGCACTTATACCGCCTTCCTGCCCAGGCCAATTTTCAGCTTTCAGTGCTGTTACACTTTGAATGACAATTGCGCGGTCATGCAACACTGTACCCATATGAATTTTTTATCATTTTTTTTTAGACAGATAGAGCTTTCTTTTGGTGGTATTTAATAACCTCTGGGTGGTTTATTTTTTGCTAAACAAACCAAAAACAACTGAAAATTTTGAAAAAAAAAGGTTTTTAGTTTCTGTTATACAATTTTGTAAATAAGTGATTTTTTCTCCTTCACTGATGTGCGCTAATGAGGCTGCAGTGATGGGCATTGATAGGCTGCACTGATGGGCACTGATAGGCAGCACTGATGGGCACTGATGAGGAGGCACTGGTAGGTGGCACTGATGGGCATTGACAGGCATCACTGATGGGCACTGAAAGGCAGCACTCATATATGGAACTGATAGGCGGCACTGACTGGCACTGTTAGGTGGCACTGACAGGCACTGTTAGGGGGTACTTATGCGCACGGATAGGCGGCACTGACTGGCACTGATATGCGGCACTGACTGGCACTGATAGATGGCACTGATTGGCAGCACTGATAGGTGTCACTGACTGGCATTAATAGGTGGCACTGACTGGCACTGATAGGTGGCACTGAAAGGCAGCTCAGATGGGCACTGATTTGTGGCATTGATGTGCACTGGTAGGCACTGATATGTGGCACTGATGTGGCACTGGAAGGTGGCATTGATGAGCACTGACAGCTGGCATTGATGGACACTGACAGGTGGCACTGATGGGGCCACACTGATCATCATGGCACACTGATCATCAGTGCCCTGATGATCAGTGTACGTGTCCCCTCTGAGGAATGCCGATTACCGGCTCTCCTCTCCTCACGAGCTGTCAGCGCGACATCTTGTGAGGAGAGAAATGCTGATAACCAGCATTTCCTTATTTACATGCGATCAGCTGTTATTGTTTACAGCTGATCACATGACCGAGCCGATGTCGTCAGCTCTTTCCATTGATCGGTAATCCGCTGTGTCCGAGGGACACAACGCATCATCGATTGCCGCGCTGCGCACTCCCCAGAGCCGTGCATGAGGGGTTAGAGTGCGAAGAAGTCTTATGACGTCCTCCCAGAACAAGCCAAGCAAACATTGAGTTCTGGACATTGCCATGGGGGCCTTTTATCAATGCAAAAATACATTTTCTTAAAAGCTCTGTTCAGCAAGGAGAGGTCTTTCAATGCTGCTTTAAAGAGCAAAATTGAAAATACACAATCATTTAAATATCATGCTTGGGGTGCCTTAAAGCTACACATAAAATTATGGAACAATACAATGTAGTCCTTTAAAACTGACAACAAAAAAAGGAAAATAAACAGTGCGGGTTTCCCCTTAACCTCCCTAGCGGTCTGATTATGTCAATATTTCTGTGCTCAAAGCGGTACATTTTTTTGCATGGAAATATGTTATTTTATTGTAGGCCTGTAATTATTAGGAATAACTCACTGAAATCTGTCCGAACAAGAGTCTAGTAAACATCCCGGGTATGATAAAATTTTAAACACAAAATCATAAATTATAATATAATAAATAACCATAAAAAATAATAATACAATAATAATACATTTAATTCAATAATATAATCAAACCCAAAAACACTGAAATTTGAAATATAGCGCCAAGTTTGCACATCAATGAGCTTAGTCACAAAATAGTTTTCAGTGTCTGATGACAAATTTCCCCACGAATCATTATCACTCAGTTCTGCAAGTGGTTCTAATTTACTATCGCTGTTCTCTAGCTGGTCTAAAACTGCTTTTGACCTAAAGGGACGCTTTTAGGACGCCATGGACGTTTCTCAGTTTCCAGGCAGAAAGAACAGTAAAAATGCAGGCAGGGCACAGGACAAAGCACTTGGGACAAAACGTATGTGAAATGCTTTGATACAGTAATGTTATACTATGTGATTTTAGTGTATTTAGTGAATGTCACTTTTTAACATTTTTGAATTTCCCACCAGGTACGTCCCCATACGTCCCGTACGTCTCGATGCTCGCTGGGAACGGAACCCGGAAGACGAATGTCGACTTCAGCCGGAGGAGATGTCCGGGGATGCTGCAGGGGGTCGTCCCAGGAGTGCAGGACAAGGTAAGTGCTGGAGGGATCCCTGAGCAACGCTGCAACGTAATCCTGAGTGTAGCTTAGGGTTAACGCTTTTGGTACTGTAAGTTAACCCCAAACTACACTCGGGAATACTGCCAGGGAGGTTAACATTCCAGGCAGACCCTTATCCAGGTATGCAGCCTGGGTGGCCAGAAAAGGGATGTACAATATATACATCTTTAGGTACAATACCAGGCCACATGCCTTTTAACATTGAGTGGTAACTTGGAAGGTACCTTGTTCCAATGTTGAGGGACATGGGACTCTTCCCCACATCCTGTCTCCAAAAAAGAATGTGGAGGTTTTTTGGGAGAAGTAAATATGGAAATTTGAAAGCCCCTTTTAAGATAGGGACCCCCCAAGATACCCACCCTCTTCCAGGGGAATGAGTACATTAGACTGCATCTAAGAGTGGCTCAAAAGAGAACTGTCTCTTGACCACCTCTCTCTATGTGAACAGAGCAACTAATTTGGTATATATACATTGCTGTGATGGTCAATTAATGAGATTTTGGGGGCCTCAACTGCAGCCCCTGACACACCAAAATGAAGTGCATATTTTTTAGTGCTAGACATGCTACAGGAGAGGATCAGAGACTGCAGACCTACTACAGGAGATGGTCAAAGATGTAGACCTACTACAGGAGATGGTCAGAGACTGTGGACATGCTACAGGAGAGGGTCAGAGACTGCAGACCTACTAAAGGAGATGGTCAGAGACTGTGGACATGCTAAAGCAGAGGGTCAGAGATTGCAGACATACTACAGGAGATGCTCAGAGACTGCAGACATACTACAGGAAATGATCAGAGACTGCAGATGTACCGCAGGAGATGGTCAGAGACTGCAGACATTGTACAGGAGATGGTCAGAGACTGCAGATAGACTGCAGGAGATGATCAGAGATTGCATGCCTATTACAGGAGACACTCAGAGACTGTGCACATATAACAGGAGACGCTCAGAGACTGCAGGCATATTACAGAAGATGGTCAGAGACTGCAGACATACTACAGGAGATGATCAGAGACTGTGGACATACTACAGGTGATGGTCAAAGACTATGTATATACTACAGAACAAGGTCAGAGATTGCAGACAAAGTTCAGGAGATGTTCAGAGACTGTGGACATACTACAGGAGATGGTCAGAGACTGCAGACATACTATAGGAGATGGTCAGAGACAGTAGACATGCTGCAGGAGATGGTCGGAGACTGCAGACATACTACAGGAGACAGTCAGAGATTGCAGACACAGTACAAGAGATGGTCAGAGGCTGCAGACATACTTCAGGAGATGGTCAGAGACTGCAGACATGCTATAGGAGTTAGTTAGCAGGTAAGTATGATATCTATCTAATTTTAAAGAAAAAAAATAATACCTTTTAGTATAACTTTAACAAACCACAATGGTGTATCTTTTGACAGCAACTTGGATATAACAAGGTCACCATCAACAACATATGGCCTCACCAGAGGGGAATGATTCCCACATAATGATCCCAGGAAGAACCTAGACAGAACAAGAGGAGTGCAAAAACTGTCAAAACTAGGTACCTGATCCCCTCACCAGAAAAATGACATTCTAAGTATGGTAGAGGATGAGGGAAGGAGGACTTAAAGCAGAACATCCCCTTTTGGGGAATATCTGAGTTGGCCAAATTAACACCTTCTTCATAATAATTTAATTATTTAGCAGTCATCTGAATGACACTTGCTACTCTTCCTTTTTTCATACACTTTGAAAAAACATTTAACAGCATATATCCCCCAAAGGCCTCACAGGTTTATATGACCAGGGGCAGGAAGAAGTGCGGTGGAAAAGATGCAGCAGAGCACTGCCATTGCTTTCACATTGGGGGGAACAATAGTGGTCTGGATAAGTTTTCTAAAGTATCTCACCAACTTTGACCACGGCACTGGCTGGCCAGCATTACCAGCTTCCAACCATCACCCATTGTATGATCTAGGGAAAACTGTTGTTATAGTCATCTCTTGTGGGTTTCTTCAAAATCAAACTCTGCAGGTGGTCTTTTCTGCTTTTCTATTCTGAAAGTTAAAGCATCAGAATGTCCTAATAATGCTGAAGCTTGTCCAGCCCTTCCCAATGGTACCATAGCTTTTCTGCCTCATATATATTCCTATTGGCTAATGAGACTAGCCACCATATGGATGGTCTAATAGGAATTGTTTGGTACAGTATAGGTCTTAGCAGCAAGCTCCACTACATGGAAATATTGAAGCTTTGCTTGTCAAAAGAGCCTGACATTCAGCCATGACAGGAAAGTCTGGGAAGCTGCTGCAGGTATGTACAGACATTTTTAGGTGGTTGCACGTCATACTTGCAGCAGCTTTCCCCAATCCTCTTGTCTCTTTAATCATTAAAACTGTGCAGGCTTATTCATGAAAGTTTTACTTATTTTGTCAAGACTTGATATTTTGGCAAGCTGTCATTTGCCTGACAAAATACAAATTGCAATGTGAACAATGTCTTGATATGATAGCCAGAGCATCATCGATAGTTTCTGCCTGTCAACCACCTGAGCTCAAATACTGCTCTTTTGAAACAACGGCAGATAGTGTGTAAAGCCAGGCAGTTAACAAGCCAGCAACTGGCAATCCCAGACCTTTTGATTGCCTCACCAATGGCAGTTCCTATATTTCTATCTTGACAGTTTCCTTTCAATGTAGTTAAAATAACAAACTATAAACAGCATTAAAAGGTGAATTTTTTGTGAACAGGACGATGATAACGACTATTATTATTTGAGCTATTTTATGGAAATTAGAAGTTTGTTTAGAAATTATACTATTTTATTTTTTTAAGATCAGTAGTGTGTGTGTAATATAACACATGCATGACTAATTTGTTTTCTTTCTAATTGTTTCTAGAGATGATAAATCATACTATATGTAGCATCAAGGGAAGTTTGTACATACATACTGTAAATATTTTTAATGAAATAGCAAAATTGAGGGCATATGGGACCCTGGACAAATATTATATTATACATGGGAAAACATGAATACAAATTGCAAGCACTGCAGGTGTACATGGTTATTTTTGCAATGCTTTCATAATTTATTTAAATGTACATTCCTTCCTTAGTAAGACACTATAATTAGGTAAAACATTTAAAACGTATCTTTCAAATATTACACAGCTGTTGCATTATAGCTAAATATTTGTGCTACTTTCAAAACAATTAAAAGTAACTTAAATCAATACATAATGTATAAAAAAATAACTAATTTCCCAAGGGAAACATTTCATATACTTCAGTACTGTAAATCTCTAACCTCTAAGAGGGATAAACAATCTACAGTGAGACTACAGGACATGTCTCTTTTTTGCCCTTTATCCAAATTATGGTCCTTGCAAGGATTTTCTGTTTAATGTTTTTATTGAAGTTTGATATACAGATACTGTAGATAACAATACACCCATAAGCCTTTGATGGTAAATGCAAATGGAACTCACAACGCAGGTAAGATACAAATAGAAAAAGCATACATTAATAACGTATACAGTAGGTGTAGAAAACTCAAAAGATTGAAGTTGACTCTTAGTAAAAAAATAAGAACAAGGGAATGTGAGTGCTAACTCCGCAGGAGCAGGTAAAAAAATGTGCATTTATTATTTTTGTCTGCAGGAGCCTGTAAAGCATTGTACCAGCGATTAGCAGATCACTGGTGCCATGCAGGTCTTCTGCAGATCTGTCAGTATATCTGCTTGCCTGTACGGGATTTACTGGTAAGCAGATATATATACTGACAGGAAGTTTCAATGAACTACCACAGTGCTCTACAGCTAAGGCTGTCAGGACTTGTAGTTCATTCATTCACAGAACACTGTGAATG